CAGTGCTCTCTACTGGCAAGAGAACATTTTAATTCTGTTTATCTCAGTACACTCTGCAGCCTTTATCAGAGTTGCAGGCATGACAAAGGTTTCAGTCAGGACACATGATCCTTTCATATGAGAAATATGGAATGCATTTCTTTTCAGCGTGGGACATAAAAGTATTATTATATACCTAAAAAACGATGTGTAAACTCTAACTTTGTGCCACATGTATTAATCAATACAAATGTCTATTAAAGATCATTTAAAAATGTGTATTTTAGATCAAATATAAAAAAAGACTACAATACACACACCAAGCTCCATCGGATTTAGATAAATGCTGGAATAAACATAACTATCACTGATATTAACATATAAATCTGCCAGATGTAATTATCAACAACTGAAGAAGGCTGTGCTGCACATCACGTACACTTCTTAACAGATAATATTTTGCCTATTTGTGGAATGCAGCAGTGGACAAGATTTAGCAAATAGTCACTATATATGTAATATAATGTTTCTTCATATTGTTAAAAATTCAGTGTTGGAAAATCACCCAATTAAATTAAATCAAATGAATGAGTAAGCACACAGTACTATCTAGGTTGGCCTTCAGAGCTTTAGCATGGTTCTCTAAAGATCTCAGATATGGGGAAAAAGAGCAAACACAAAGTTAGTCATTACAGTCATTGATAAGGAAATTGACCTCTGGAACTGACCCCATCCGACATTATGAACTCTGTGAATGAAGCATTTCTGGCACGGCTGTCAGTTTCTATGTCACATGCAGCTTTTGTCAAAATACATACATCTTAATTTTTTGAAATATAACAGCTTTGTTCCAAAAGTATTGTTCAATAACAGATGACAAAATGTTATTGCATATTTAATATGATGTATGCTTCCAAGTTTAAGTTTGGAAGTGAAATATATTTTCAGTTAGTTTATCCTACAAATGTTCCTTTAATAATGGGTTACCTATAAGCAGGAAAAAAAAAGAAAAAAAAAAGAAAAACGTCATAAATTCAGTCAATGGCTCAGTGCACTGGGTTAATCTTATCTCTTTAACACTTTATCTCAGTTAAAATCTACAGTAAATGCACTCAGTGGCGTGACTCTGACAGCCACCTGGGCTGACAATATTTGAGAAACCTTACAAAGAAATGAGACACATAAAAAGACAAATTTCAGCACAGCAAAAACTGCAGAGAGGAATGGAAAGTCTAAAATATTCTCATTTTGCAGACTTTGTTATTATTATGCTATTATTATGACACTAAAATGATCAGTATTGATGCTGGGAAGAAAGATTTAGAAAGCCCAACTGAAAATTCTAAGAAAAAGTACATGAATAAATGTACTTACTAACAACGCTGATGGAAATGAATGGGTTAATGGTGCAGAAAAAGTGGACCTGACCAAAAAAAAAAAAAAAAAAAAAAGCTTGGGGGCTTGGTGGACTTTTCATTCAGCATACAGTTGCACAAGGATCAGTCATTCACTATTACACAGGTTGTCTGCCTTAAATCATGACCTCTGAAACTCAAGGTAAATCTTCTCTGGCCTTTAACTATTAACAATTTTATAATTTAATGTTTATTTCTTATTTCTTAACCATATTTTGCATTTATGAATTTATGTATTACATTTTTATATTTACATGTTAATATTCTCTTCACAGCTAGTATGCAAATCACTGCTCTGATGGTAGTCTGGATACTGGGAACATCACTGGTGTTTCCACAGTCGGACACAGCAGCTACAGAGAAGGTGGCTGAAGATCCCATTCCCTGCTCTAAGGTGTGCACCTGTCAATACGATGATTTCATCTCGGAGCTCAACATGTACTGCAGTTCACGCAACGTCACACAAGTACCAACTGACATGCCACCATCCACTTATTCTCTCTGGCTGGATGGCAACCGGTTTACATCGCTCCCAGCCGCAGCTTTTCGGGATTTGACCAACCTGGACTTTTTAAATCTTCAGAATGGCCAGCTGACAACTATTGACCCTCAGGCTTTCAAGGGCCTTGGGTCGCTAGCACATATTCACCTTGAGCGGAATCGCCTCCGGGTATTACCAGGTACAGTCTTCCAGAATACACCCAACCTTGCTTCACTTAGTCTGCATAACAACCAACTCAGTCGCATTGAGGAAAGACTGTTTGCAGGACTCTCACAAATGTGGCTTCTTAACCTAGGTTGGAACTCATTAACGGTCTTACCTGAGACAGCTTTCCATGACCTGCAAGGTCTGCGAGAGCTGATACTCGCAGGAAACAGACTTGCTTACTTGCAGCCACAGCTCTTTCAAAACCTTGGTGAGCTCAAAGAGTTAGATTTGACAGGAAATTACCTGAAGGTGATCAAAGCCAACGTGTTTCTTAAACTAACTAAACTGCAAAAGCTTTACCTGGGACAGAATCAGATTTTAACAGTGGTCCCCAGAGCTTTTGCAGGCATGAAGTCACTTAGATGGCTGGATCTGACAAACAATAAAGTGATTTCTCTACATGATGACACCTTCCTTGGCCTGCACAATCTCCATGTACTTCGCCTTTCTCACAACTCTATCACTGGAATTAGGCCCAGGACTTTCCGTGATCTGCAGTACCTAGAAGAACTAAGACTGAGTTACAACAGGATTAGAACTCTGGGGGATAGGATCTTCGAGGATCTTGGCCATTTAGAGGTCCTAGAACTAGAACACAATCAAGTGCAGGAAGCACACGTGGGGGCTTTCACAGGCCTCTCTCATGTGGCTGTCATTAACCTTTCTGGAAGCTGCTTCCGCACTCTACCAGACCAAATGTTCAAAGGTCTGCCAAGGCTTCACAGCCTACATCTGGACAGAGGCTGCTTAACTAAGATAACAACTCAAGCTTTCAGAGGACTGTCTGGTTTAAGGAGGCTATTTCTGCAACGCAACAATATTTCTGTTGTAGAACACCAGAGTTTTGTGGATATGGTAGGCCTATCGGGACTAGATCTGAGTTCGAACAAGCTGGGTGCTCTCACCACCCATACATTCTCTGGCCTCAAGAATTTGGAGTACTTGCTGTTGTCCAACAATGAGTGTAGACAGTTTTTGCAAAATGGCACAAGGCAGATTCTTCCAAGGCTGCGCTACCTAGACTTGAGAGATAATGCCTTAACAAGCTGGGTCCCAGACTTCTCTGATAATATAGAAAAACTATTACTGTCTGGAAACAGGTGGAAATGTGACTGCAGCACCCTCCCACTTAGAAACTACGCGTTGAGGAAGTCACAGGTGATTCCTCGGCTAGTGGAGACCCACGCAGAAGGTGAAGAGCCTGATACGACAATCACCATTTACAACAACATCACATGCACCAGCCCACCTCGCCTAGCAGGTCAGGACTTACGGGATGTGGACGGTGAACACTTCCAAAACTGCTAAGCTGCACTACAAAGACAGTTTTATGGAGCTGGTTGGTTAAAATTCTGCTATCAGCATTAGCATTTCAACATTGTAAATTACTTAAGCTTGATTTGAACATCAAAACTGCAATACTGAAATGTGTTTCATGTTCTTATATAGCTATTAACAGATAAGCTCCTGCCATCTCATGCTTTTACAGAAAATGCTATTTGTTTCTAAACATATCTGGATTCTCTTCAAAGAAAATCCCATGAAAACCAATATTCCTTTTGCTTCATTAGTTATGATAAATATGTGGTTGCGGTTGAATGTGATGACAGTTGGCAGATTGTCAACACTAGGAAAAACAAAATGTGATGCAGCAACTTCACAATGCTTTGTGACACATCAATTTATGTTAGTATTAGAGAGCATGATGGAATGTGAAGAGCTCAATTTGTAATACCTTTGCTGAAGTGCTTCATATGGATATGAGTTTGCCTGAGATATTTAATAAAACATTTCAAATGTGCAAATGTGGTTCATTTACTTTTGCTAAAATAGTTATAAAATGATCTGTAACACAGATAACTTAACTTTAACACAGAACGTATTAACATTATGATAAGGCCTGACAGTACTTTAATTGCAGAAATTTCAAGCAAAGTAAAATAATAATATTAATAATTATCATCATCATCATCATGGGCCTTTGAAATTTGAAGAAATGTTTGAACATGAATAGCTCAAAAACTTTCACAGATTAAATCCTGGCATTTTCACTGGCCTGGCTTACCACAAAAATGAAACAGGATCTGTAATTTGGAACAAATGCATCAAAAATGTCTGAGTATTGGTTAGTTAAAATTAGAAATAAAATCAAGCAATCCTGTAAAATCCTAAATTTGAGCACACACAGTAAAAATACATAGTGACAGTTTCAGAATTGCATATAGTTGCATTATACAATAATGCAGGAATGTCATGTTGGTTTGATCAAATATGACATTGTACCATACAAACGATATATAAGTAGATAGTCTAATCTAAATAGAACAAAATTCTGGAGTTTCAAAATAATTAAGAAAATAATTGTGTTAAATATGTGTTTTGAGCCCTACTTTGTAAGCATGCATATTACCCTTGAGGAGTCTGATAATTCAGATTAAGTTCAAAATACACTAAGAAGCAATCAAATTTAAATTTTCATATAGGTATATTACATTTCTTGCAGTATTCAATAAAGCAGTCAGTACTTTTACCTGATCTTTGCCGATTACCTGATCTTTGCTTGCCCATAGCAGTTGTGACACTAGGGTTAGCCTTGGGTTCGGGACTTAGGGAACTGTACCACACTACCAATCATACATACTATGTTGACATGGCAACAGCCTTCCAAGACTACTCATGTGAAATTAGTTACCTTTTCATTGCTATGCTATATGTTTTTTTAATGTACAAAAGTTTAAATTGGTGCTTGTTCAGTTTTTAATGGTATATTTTAAACTTAAATAGAATTATAAGTCTCCTTCAGGGCAGTAGGCCTTGAAATAGTAGGTATAGTATGGCTATGCACAGCACCTGTAGGGGTGTCCAAATTCATAGGCTGCATCCACCTGAAGACCCGGCATTCGCGGTCTACGTGGGCCGGGTCCTCCGAAGTCCCGGTAGGCCGGAAGTGAGCGGCTGTGAAATTGGACGGTCTAGCCTTCAGTTTTGCGTCATCAGATGTCTCGGTGGAGTTAAATAAACTCAGCCGTCTGCTCCTTTCTGTCTAGAATATAACAGGACACTGGCGTAAATTTTCGATCATCTCAGACTTCTGTTTAATCGGTTTTCTGTTTGACGTTTATTCAGATGTGTGAAAACTATAACTTTAAGCAATTTTAGCACGGTAGCTAGCAAACTAGGAAAATTCCTGTTCAAAAAGTCATAAAAGAGTGTTAGCCAGCATAAAAAGAACATTTCCCTGTATTTAGAAAAGTTACATCTTGGTGAGCTTACCTGCTCTAACACACACACAACACAGCTTTGGAACACTATGCCAATTTAGTACTTGTTTGCTTTCACATTTTCGCGAAGCTTTCGCGTTTCAGTATGGGAATTTCTGGCAGCATTTGAAGGCAACACTGTTGTGAAGCTTCTCGTTTCCAATGGTAACCAAGAAGTACCCAGGGACTAACACATTCAGCGCAAAGACACAACAACAACACAAAAAACGTTCTTACTTTAAATTAGTTTCTTTTTATACATTGTTATAAATGGATTTTAACCGTTCTTCGTGTTGGAATTCAATTTTGGAGAAAGTTAAACCAAATATTCCTACCATGGACTTTGACCTTTCACCTGTAAGTTGTGTTTTTAAAGTTAAATCTTGCTAACGTCCGCTAATAACTATTTATTTACACAATTAATGCCGTTTTAACGTTGTATAGCCAGAGAAAGATGAAATCATCGCTGTATATGAAAGACCAGCTGCTCTTTCCCTGAAGCTTCCTGAGGACTTCAACAGTTTTTCAGTAGATGCTGAATTTGAGGTCAGTGAATATTTTTTTTTTTTTTGTTAATGATAGAAAAATCATGAAACCCAAGCAAACGAATGACTGATTATGATGACATCAATGATAATAATAAATACTCAATTTCCCTCTGGGATTAATACAGTTTGATTCTGAATGATTATTGTTATTTCTTATTTTTCTTATTTGTATTTGTCTCGTTTCCCTTAATCAGGAGCTCCCAAAACCATTATCTGAAGAGATCTGCAAAAAGATGGATGCTAGTGAAACTGTAGAAAGCAGTACATTAGCCTGTGTGAATTATGCTGAGGTGAGATATACTGGTCTGGTTAGAGCACAGCACCATAAAGCCACAGCATTTTAAATGTACTTTGTTTTCTTGTTATCATTAAAGGTAGGTGCTCCTGAGGATAATTCTGAGGTGTTGAATAAAGGAGTCAAGCTGAAGGACTCTTTAAAACCAGACCTGGAAAATGTGAAATCCTATGATGGTTACTCACTTGCTGTAAGTTTGAAAAGTAGAAAAACATCATATGAAAGCAGTTATAAACAATGCAAGTAAATATTCTCTAAAAACTTACATTCAGAGGCTTGACCAGTGGGACTTGGATGATGCCCTTAAAAATCTAAAAGAGAACAAGCTGTCTTTGCAACCCCATGTAACAGTGGCACCCCTGAAAACACATCAAGGTAAGTCATTATGAAACGATTCACTGAGGCTGTAGTGATCGATGACAGGTTTATGAACTGAATATTTGTTTTGCAGGTGGTGGCACAGACAAGTTGCAGGAGAATATAATGGATAAATTAGCTACTTTCTGTAAGAATCAGACTGCGTCTGTGTTAGAACCTGTGAGTCCAGACTCCGACAAGTAAGTCATGTCACTGCCCAGGATCCGTAAGTCTTTAAAGATAATATTATTATAATAATCGACCTTTTTCTTGCAGAAAAAATAGAATGTCGAGCAGATCAGTGGAAAAGTGTGGAATAGATTTGCAGTTAAGCCACCAGGAATGTTCCACTGTTTATATTGACCTGCGTTGCCCTGATCCCTCAGTAAAACCATCAAGAACATCCCCAAATCTTCCATCAGAGACGTCAGCCAAACACAACAACACTCACCAGAAAACATCACCTGCAAAGAAAAACAATTTCAAAGTGCACCGTGGATTGCATATGGGAGGCAGGTAAATACATCCTGCGTCAGGAACGTTGGTCACACTTCAGTTGGGCTTGTTTTCTTTCTGCTCATGTTGTCATTGCTGTGCTTGCAGGGAAGAGACTGGAAAGAGTATGTTGCTTAAAAAAATAAGGGAGATGAATAGAAATGAGAATAAATATCCTGATAAATGTATGCGTCATCCAGAGCTCGGCGTGGAAGCAAGCACAGATGTTAAGTCAGAACATCTGTGGGTAGATAAACAATCCGAACCTGAAGTGGAAAGCCCACAAACTGTTTTAGGAAGTTTAGTTAAAGAACCAAAACAGCAGAGCTATGGAGTTTGTTTTGTTTGCCTTTATTTGTGTTAACTTTTATAAACAAATATGTTAACCGCGATGATGACGAACTATTAGGGACCAACTAAGACGACGGGTTAAGAAGGCGTCTCACCATGAACAAGCCCAGGAAACTCTTAGGCAGCTGGAAAAACATTGTCCAACCAAATCTGTGTCCGGGAAGCAGCCAGCTGCCGAAAGGACTGATGTTCTCTATGAGTTTGTAAGTGTCACTGAATTCAGAGTAAATGCACAGTGCATTTCCCTACAGTTACTACTTCCCATTTTTCAGGAAGCATCTCAGCAAGAGCCAATCAGCACACTACCAGCAGGTATTGAAAGTAAGGGCTCTATGCTGCTGAAAGTCAACCTCTGCAGTCCTGGTGTGATAGAAGACAGAGGACATGGGAAGAGAAAATATCCAGCTGCAACCAAATTACACATCTATAACACTTTAGTGGCATGGTTTCTGTCTCTGGTTAGTGGACAGTGGCTTCTATTTTCTTATGTTAGCCATACTGTAGTTTGTTTTTTTGAGTTCTTTCCCCCCTGTGTTCATGTTTTGTCAGGTCGGTCCAGAGCCACGTAGCAGTGAAGACGAGATCAGTGCAAAGGTCCCATTCTGGGTTGCAGGACTTCACCAGCTGTGGACAGAAGATGGACTGGCTTTGAATGTTTTAATTGTGGCTCGTCACTGTTATCCAGCAAGGGTACATGCAAAACAAAAGAGAAAGAAATTACACACACAAAAAAACATTTAAACTGCACAAAACTGATCTTTTAAATTCTGATTTGAGCCAATTCAGTCTGTGGCCTAAATCAGACACAGGTCTGTATATAGTTTGCAAAGATTGTAGGTACATCATGAGTTCAGACTGAACAGTAAAATCAGAATTCATGTCACCGGTCTCTAACGTGACCTGAGAGTTGAGTGGAGATGTGCTGGCAGACACAGTTTCTTTTTTGTAATTACCCCCTGCAACTTCTAGCTAAAACTTTCACCACCAGGATGCAAAATTTTACCAGCGACTCTTACTGCTTTTGAGACTTCTTTGAAGCTAACTTAGTTCCTCAAGAGGCTCTACCCTTTCCCAGATTGGCATTGTAAAATGCTTGTAGAAGTTTTTTTTTTAAATGCTTTGCCTGATTAAATAAAGGACAAAGTGACATGGTACTTGGCATGACATGAAAGTATGGCCTGGCTCTAGTTCAGCTGCACAGGCTATCGCTTCAACAAAGTGGTCTGATGTTTTGGATATAAACTCGTTGTGATTATCTTTTCACATTAAAAATTTTTTTAGCTATTTTTTGGAAGGAATTTTACTGTCAGAGTCAAGATTCTCCTTCCTTTAACGGCATCCTGACACCTAATACAGAAGTAATAGCCAAAGGGATGTAAACCGTGGCTCAGATTTGAATGCTAAGGCATGCAGTGTGAATGTAGCCTTTGTCTCATGAATTTGACAGTGACGCAGATCTCATATTTGTTTTCTAGAAACGGGACACAGACGTCTATGCACCTTTCTATAATAATGTCTGCAGGTTCCTCTCTGAGACCTCACTCACTGCAATTACCAGCTGGCTGCCTCACCTTAAAAACCTGTTGGACCAGCAACCCTGCACCTCTCCCATCCACCTCCCTTCATCCTGTTTAAATTGTTTTATCTCTGCCACCTCCAACCAAACGGTGGGTTGCTACAAGAAGGTTGCTTTAAGACTCCCAACATCAGAGCGCTCAGATGTTTTTCCTTCCTGCTCACTGTATTTTGTTTTTGTTTTTTTAGGTCATAGAGAGGACATTTGGTCTAAGTCCAGGTTTTTACTGGCAGACAGTTGAAACTCGGGATCGTGCTTTTAAGGGGAAAGAGACCACACAGGAGGTGCACACAGAGGTGAGCGGGGTGTCTTTAAAAGTGCTATCTGCAGGAGTAATTGTGCTTTCTTTAACGGCTTTCTTTTGATTGCAGGAAGCACAGAGTCAGAGGAACAGCAGGGACTAAATTTATTTTTACTCGACTTTGTTGTAGGTGTCAGTTGTTCTGGGGTCCAGTGGCTTCTTTCAACATCCTCTTCTAACACACTACACCCTCCAGCTGGTCCTAGACTCAGGACTCGATGTGTGTGGTCTCCGGCTGCTTTATCCACCGCAGGAGCTTCTGAGTGAGCGCTTTGGTAGGACATAACTAATACCATCTGTGCTTAAAGTTACTCCACTTGGCCTGGATGCTTGTTTTTTACTGATTAAAAAAAGCCTTTGAAAACGTCTCCTCTCATTCAGGTAGAACAGCGGGTAGTCTGAGAGACCATGAGCCCTGTCATCCCGTTGTTACTCTAGCAGTCCGAGGTCCTTATGCCCACTCCTTGTTGAAGGACATAACTAGTTCCTTAGATTCTCTGCGGCCCAAAAAGGCAGAAACCACTTCCAGCAATGGTCTACACTGCAGAGATCAAGAACCACCATTCATCTATTCACCCCAACTGACCAGTCAGGTCCACAGTGAGCTGTGCCTGTGGTTTTCAGGAAGACTGCGGGGAGGAAGTGCACAGGATCATAACAGGTGTGTAGAAAATGTTCTTTAACTATGTCCAAGAAGTTTTTTTTTTATCAAATAACTGATTATTGCACATTTTCCACCACCCTGGACAAATTCCAGGGTATTTATTATATTTAATTGATGCCATTAACTGATGGGTGTTGGTGTAATCCTGTGGGGATGACTGGAGCGTATTTTAAAGTGTTACAGTGTGATGTTTTTAGAATCAGCTACCTAACATTTTCTTTTTAGAAGTGTGCCTTCAGATAACAGAGCTGGAACCATCCTGTCTAATCCAAGCAGATCATCTTCTTTCCTGTGTGCCACAACTAAAGGTACGATAATTCAGCAAGTCCAAACTGTCACAGTGGGGAAAATATGTCAGTGCTCACCTTTCATTTTTAACTTTTATCATCTTGAGTCAAAGTCCTTGTTTTGTATCAAGGATAAAAACATTTTACTTGAGTGGAGCTCCTCATCTTTCTCTCCCTAATTTGTGTAGCTGATTTCCTCCTCTTGGTGTCACCTGTTGTTCCTCCATGCTGCTATGGCCAAGTGCTGGCTGTATGTGAACGCAGAGGCTTCAGTCTTAGAGGGCTGCAGAGACTGCAGGTTCATAGCCATGGGGCCTCCCTCCTGGGCCTCAACAGCTTCCAGGTAGAAGAACCAAGACACTCACTCAGTACACAGAGTCTTAAAGAGAAAAGCTCTAATCAATCAAATCTAAGCAAAAAAGTTTGGAAAGTGATTGTCTTAGGTCTCAAGAATTATTCCTTCTATCTGTCTCAAAGGTTCATACTGAATTTGGGAAAAGAGCATTCAAATGCAGCTCTTTCCTGCTGGAATCAGCTGTAGAATCAACTAAAACTTAAGGAACTAGCCTCACCTAATGAATTTAAGGCAGTTCAGGTTTCAAATGTTTTGCCTGAATAACCTGAATAATTAGTCATTATTATTGTACTGCTGTCCTTTGAGTTATTCTTTTTTGTGGTTAAATAAGGGTTAATAATAATAATAACAATGATAACAATAATAATAGAAGAGAAATATAATATGATTTTATTTTTACTCATAGGTACAAGTTAATCAGTAAAACATATAATAATATATAATTTGTTGGTAGGCATCTGTGTTCTGCAGTCCACCTGCTTCCACTCCAGATCAAAAAGAGCTAGAGCTGCCCACTCACTGTCTCGTGTTACTGCTGAGAAAAGAAAATGCATCGCGTCACAGTGTCGGTCTACCATCAGGTCTCAAAATCTGTCTCAACCCTATAACATAATTCATCTCTGTAACGTAAAATGTCAAAATGTGTGTCTTATAATGCAGGAAGTCTTTGCTGTAAACATAATCTCGTCCAACTGTCATATGTTTCAGCGCTAATGAAAGAATTCAAAGCTCTAAAGCTTCTGGGTTACATTCACTCAGGAAAGGATGGTGTTCACACATCAGAGCCAAGCTTGTGTTTCCACACTGTACCGATCAACAAGAACTTAGTCCAAAACTTTGGTAAGCAGTTTATGGTCAGTACAGATACGAGAAGACGATCCCGTGCTGTAACTCTCTACTTATATACGTTTTCTTTGTAGTTAGTTGCATGTGGGCAGTGCCAAATCCCTCCAGTGTGATCCTGTCTCATCACAGGTGTTCATTCAGACCTGACATGGAGCAGGTAGTAGTTTTGACTCTGTGTGGGAAGGACTTGACCCAAGGCCTCAGCCTCCTAAACAGAGTGCTGATAGAAGAAGAAGGTAGAAGTATCTGAGAGCACAACTAGCTAAACAAACCTCATTCTGAGTGATTTTTTTTTGGCCTCATCACAGTTCTCTTAATTACCCTTATTGTTTCTGATTGATTGCAATACTTTTTTTTTAATGTTATAGGTGATGAACAACATGCTAGATTTAGGCTCCTCAGCCTGAAGTGGCTTCCTGTGCTGACTCGACTTCAAGCCCAGGAGCTGAGCCCGTATGAGGTGGGAGATCCGCTCTGCTACACCAGCATGGAAACGCTGATGTCTTCTCCAGCTCTAGTGTGTGCTTTGAGAGGATTTGCTGATTTTTCTTCGTTGAGGACGCTCCTACCACATGACTGTCCTCAAAGCCTGAGTGTCCTCATGTCTCCCACACCTGAGGTGGCCCTCAGACAAGCCTCCATTTTTTTCTTCGAGCATGAAATGATTCCCGGTAAGTTTGTTGTTCTCTATGAAAGGTGCTCTTAGTGATACATCAGAGCTGCTAACTTTCTGTTCAGACCCACAGATGCTGCTCACCGTGTGCCTGTTGAAACCACGAGCTTGGAATCACAGTCTCACTAAAATAGTCGGCAAACTTCAGCAGAGTGGCCTCACGTTGGTGGGCATACAGGTAGTGACCCATGACAAAAGTGGTGCTACTTCACTGCTGCGTGCAGAAAGTGGGCACAACCTGTGCTCTGGCCCCTCGCTGGCTCTCTGCCTTCAGGGAGAAAATGCTGTGAAGAGGCTGCTGGACATGCTGAGCCAAGAGGACTCTTCAATGTGGATGACCTGTCATGGTACGACCTACTTATAAGCTTCTGTGATCACTACCCTGTATACTCGTACACGAGAACAGGATTACCATGTAAGTATTATGTTTAAAATGTCAGTAACCAACGTTACAGGATCACGATCGTATCAGCAGGCAATTATGGATGTGAGGAGGTTTTTTCCTGAGGGGCTCTGCTGTACTGAGACCAACACAATGAGACAGGAGCAGGTATGCTTGTTAAACACGGAACATGGGTAACTAGACTTCAAAGCCATCCTATGTTGAATACAAGGGTTGTAATTTTGGCTAAAAAACAGATGATTTGTTTTCCCCAGATACTCAGCTTATGTTCAGACCCAATAGCCTCCGTAGAGCGTCAGCGGAGCTGCACACTGACTCAAGCGGCTCGGGAAAGTCTTTCAGTCTCCTCTGAATCACGACCAAATGGAGGTTCTGGTGTTTTCTTTAATATTTTATTTAATTATACGGTATTGTTGCTGACAAAACAGAGCTATGAGCAGCTATGCCTTTTAATCATAACGCATTAGCCATGTACTCATATTAATGAATCCACATCTCCCCATTATTAAATATGACTCAGTTTAATTGACAACAGTGAACATTGCAGGGTTCACTAGTTATTTTTAAGCAAATATGTCCCTTTAAATGATTTATCTTTTTGGCAGAGGTTCTCTTGGAAAGGATGTTGAAATATGACTCAGTTCCAGGTAACCTTTGTAAGCTGTACACAAACAAATGTTCTGTTTTGCTTGTTTGTTGGTACTAGGGTCCCTGAAGCACAGGCAAACAACCTGTCTGCTGATACCCTTGAACGCTACACCAGGCAGCCAAGTGCCTTCCCAACTGGCGATAGTGGAGCAGGTGCTGGGATCAGACTGCCATCTGGTGGCAGGAAGGATGAGCATCCTAGATGATGAGCAGCAAAAACATATATCTGAGACACTTAAAGCGTCAAGCATAAGGGAGAAGGTGAGGAATGGGACCTTGATACAGGTTATTTGGACCATAAATTCATGCAGACAGTGCCGTCAGATGCTGACTTTGGCTGTTTTCTTATGCTCTCAAAAGATCAACTCAACTCCTTGTCTCATCGTGGCTCTCCAAAGAGAAAATATCGCAACTGAGTTTGGCCTGATTCTTAAAAGGTATGGAGGAAAAACAAACTTGATAAACTTAGACTTTATTTATTTTTTAAAATTCTGCATTATTGCAACAGGATTTACAAGGAAAGGCCAGACCTGGAGCAAGTAGGGAAAAGCATAGTCTTCCCAGAAAATGAAAAAGAGGTACACCTGAAAAATATTAACTTTTGATTCTTTTTTATTCTTAATATATTTAAATAAACCACATCCTCAGCAGCTTAATAACCCTAACAATGTGTTAATATACATTTGAAGTTTGTCCATTTTATATTCTTTTCCAGGCTATGCTGCTGATATGCTACCTATTTGATACCTTGTCTTCTGAGAGCTGTGATGTCACTGTGCCATAAACATTCAAATGTGTGCACGTATAAGCATATTTTCCAAAGGTTGCTCCAAAGCATAGAAATTTATAGCTTTCACTTGTTTTACTTTTTAGATATTGTTCAATAAATATTTATTCGAAAACAGGATTTTGCCTCCTCTGCTAGTCCACTTCCTCTTTAAGGCGCAAAATCTTTTTCTGTCTGTTGTGTTTGAGACAAAAATTAGTCACACTTTTCAGATGAAAAATTATTTTAATTCTCAAGATGATAAAAATAATTTTGTGAACTCTGTAAACCATTGCATAACTGTAGTGTAACAATTTAACAAGTGTTAACAAACTAGTAATACACTACAGTAAATATGCGGTACACAATCCTCAATGTAGAAAAGGAACATCTAGTATTCTAAGACTTGCACCTGTTTTTGTGTTCACAACACAAAAATATCAATATATACCAACAGAATAATTTCTACAATTATCAGTATAGAATTTCCTACATATCCATACAGCTCATCACAAAATAAGGGACATATGTTTTAATCTATAATGTCTAAACCCACTTACATTAAGTAAATAGATCCATGAAATGCAGTTTCCTCAGATTTAACATTCTCTAACAAATCACTGTTTTACCCTGAGAAAAATACATTTCTTTCTTTATAGTTATTTTATGATTATGCTAACAAATAGAAACTTGAAAACTTGCATTTGTTTAAGTTCTAATAAATTTTATTGAATAGAAGTTCACAACTAGATGCTACATCATAATCAATTAACTGCGCTCCATAATATCCAGTGACCTATTCATTGAAATTCTAATTTAGAGCAATACATTCAATATTTCAGGGTTTCAATGTTAAAATAACATTTTTACTGAAATTTTCTAAAGTACATGGAACAACCGGCTCCACATTAAGATCATTTACTTTTGACTTTACACTAATATTTCTTTTTTACTTAATTTGAACAGCTCCATACATGTACAAGATTGCATAAATCTTCTGGCTCCATTTTTATAATGTTAAAAACAAACAAACAAAAAAAAAACAACAACAAAGAAGACACAACAACTAACAATAATGCAAAATAGATTAAACTATTCCAATGCAGAGCATAATGATACATCTATTACAGTTCATATACAAGATTCTCCCTGTTTGGTGCTTTTCTTTGCAAACTGTTGGGTTTCTGATATCAAATGACAAATCCACATCAGATCTGTGTGTTCAGTGGTCGGGCGTTGCTGTGTTTTCTTGAAGTGCATGGCAAATACAGACGATTATCAGTCAGTTAAAAAAAAAAAAAAAAAAAACCTGCTTCATCCTCTTAAACTGGTGAAGCAAACCTCATTAGATTAGCCTTTTTCCTTTCAGCTGAAGTAGGCTGAATGTATGAGACATTTAGCGATCACATTATGGTCCACAAAATACTGTAAGGCACTGAACTTTTGATTCCAATTGAGCAAGTTATATTTTGTCTCTTCAATTAATCCACATTACAGAATTATTAAAAGGCACAGACACATTTGAAAGCGTAATTGGTCCGAGAGAAAAAATTAAAGAAATCTGAAGAAATGTAAAGCAAAACCAAGCTGTGCTTCCAAAGAGAACGTTTGATTTCTTCTAGAAATTTTTGGCAGGTAGACTAGTCTCTAGAGAGACTGAGGGTCAACAACAAATTAATTGGAATTATGTCTGTATCTGCCATTGATGCGTCACAATTGTCATCTGTCCCCGGGAAAACAAAAACTAATTTGGACCACGGCTTTAAGAAACAGAAAACAAAGTCGGATAAAAAGAAAGCACCTTACAGGCCTAGCATAACAGTACACAATGCTATTCATTTCCAAACCGATTTTTATGTAGATAAACAAAAATCAACAAACAAAATTGACTTCACAACAGTAGTGAAGTTTATATGGCCACTTCAGAAGCACAAATGTCATTCACCTTTGACATTCCTTCACTGTAGACAACAATTAAACTTACACTGAATCCACGCTTAAGGTCAGCATGTGCTTGCCAGTACTGCACAATGTGCCATAAACGTCAATGTATACTTAACACAAAAATCAAATGTACGAATACACATTTTGTAAGGATCTGACCCATGCATTTATAATCATCTGCCACTCACTATGACAAGCTTTAGATAGAAAAAAAAAATTACTGTTAATGAACATTAACTATTTAAGGTACTAGGTGATTTACTTTTTAAAATCAATTTCACTTTTCATTAATGAAGACAAATGATGAAATGTAGTAGAAAAGAAATAACAATACAGGTCTTTGGTAAAACTACAAAACATGGGCTCAAGTCTGTTACTGTTGTAAGCGAAAGCCACTGGCAAAGTCCTGTTATTGACTCAGGATATACTGAATGAAATATTAACGCAAAACAAATTACAATAAATCCATCTAAAAATAGAATTCCTGCCACTCACAACGCTGTCTCACATAGAGATTCGGGAAAGACCGAGCTATGCTGACAGCTACAGGGTGATCTGCCCAATACTCGAGTACTTGTCTGAATTCTGTTCAAGGGTAAATTTTCCCCTCACAATACATAATTGGACAGCTACTAGACCACCGCTTTGGTTCATTTTTAGATTTTTCCCCACTAGACATCATTAATTTTGTTGGCTTCACAGGCAAAACAAAACAGACCAAAAGGATACTGTGAATTAGCTGCACTGTACACTGCTATCCAGTGTATAGGGGGGTGGGGAAACAAAACCAACCTTCAATCAATTCAAATAAAAATAAACAAAAAAGGGACCATCTACTGTAGTGCAGGTCCTTGACATCATTTTAAGGATTTACAAAAGTACTGAAACTTAGACTGAAATGAATTTACAAATGAAGAATTCAATTTGAAACAAGAAAAAAAGATTAAGTCAAGTTAGATGCAGAAGACATTATTCCAGGATCTGAAATCTGAGCTGTGGATGCACAACAACATTCAAACATCTAAATGTTTACAAGAAACTACATTAATACCTTTTCCAGTAGCAGCGAAGCTTGCAGAAGTTATTAAGCCTTAACTACACTAAAATAAGTACAAATATTCTGGCAGTGTGACACAGTGCGAACATTTTTTTTTTCTTTTTTCTCCTTTTGTGTAGCTGGTTAATATATCGCATAACATGCAATACATGAAATGTTTAGCCTGCCTTTTATGCTTTAATATAATCATGAAAATCCTAAAATACCATTAACCTTTCTTGATATTTTTCCTCTGAGTTTCTTAATTGTCATCTGTGTAAATGTAAACAATGCATTTTCCCATTTATAAGTAGCAAAAAGTGTACCTGGAGATACATGACTTTCTACTGGTTTTAAAGCAAGAATAAAAAGGGTTTTTTTTGTTTGTTTTTTTAAACACAGTAGAAGGTCATCTGAATTACGGGAATCTAAGCACAAACCCAACGCAGAAAATTACTATGGAAATCTTCATTCACTGCAGAATCATTACAACAAACCCTACTGAACTGTTTAAAAAAAAAACATTTTGTATGTTGCTGTATAAATTCATGTGGCCTAACTTTGCATACTCCCAAATCTTAAACCAGAAATCTATATTCAAAGACTGAAGCTGCACCAAAAGAGCACCACAACCAAGGAATGAGTGGGTGAGTGGGTAGGTGGAGGGGAAGGTTCATTTCTAAGGGCAAAGTCAGGACACAGGCACTGACAATTTTCATATTCAATCATCTTCTGCAGAAATACTTAATGGAATTTGGCCAAATACACTGGCATATATTTATATTTACACACATATAGTCATAAACATGTCAATGCCTCTGCAGAATTAAAATACACATTTTGCAGAAAACGCGTGCACAAGCTTTGACTACTTGTGTTTGCGTCGACAATTCTACACATAACCTTTTGAACTAAGGCAAGGCACTTTAGAGTTAGAGGCCGATATGTTCTAGACAAGGTCAAGAGGCTAGATTCCTACAAAAAATAAGAGGAAAAAAAAAAGTGGGAAAAAAGGAAAAAAAAAACATCCCAGTTTCAGGCTTATAGCAAATACAATACATGCTTCTCTAATGGATAGGCTATATAAATTTCTACAAAACAAAACTGATTGAAAAACAGCCTTAACATGTAGCATGTGCCTTACTGATATTACAGCTGCTGGTTATGCCTAAAATGCAGTTTAAATTTGCACTTATTTGATTGAAATTTTTATAAATCTAGCTATGAAAGTAGAAACTATTAAGTACTTTTTTTTAAAATGAAATATTAATATGTAGAACCATGCTATGATCTAACAATAGGAAACATGAAATATTCAATTATGTTTCACAGTACACACAAAAGCTTCAGACATTGTGTAGCTTATTATGTAGAAAACAAATGTATAAATCTAAAAAATAAAGACACAAAAGAATACCTACAAAGCAGCTTAAAGCAAATTTCTATATTTATATATATTTATATATACCCTTGAATAAAGTCCCAGGTCAACAAAGTGCTTTTAATAAGAAAAACTTCTTCAGAAAGTTGGTCAAAATAATGATGCTTGACTGTTTGCATTTAAAAAAGAAAGTTGGTGAACTTTTATTTGGGAGGGTTTAAAGAAAATATGACTTTAATTAAAGAGGACTGCTTTAAATGGTGTTTTGAGATTTTCTCTTGATTTAAAGATGACAAACCTTACTGGATCTGTAGTATTTTATGAATCTGTTTTTACTACAATGAAAATGTGGCAAAGAATTAGAGGTTTTCATCACATAAACAGTTCTCGTAGCGCTGTGTTTAATAATGAAATGTATACTAATTCAGCTTGACACAGACCTGCTTTATGGTTCTCCATCACATACACCACCAGTGCACATATTGTTTTCCTGTTCAGACTAATTGAGCTTAAAACAAATATGTGATTCCTGGATTAGACATCAGTCACTTGGTGCTAGGATGTCTGCTTTCTTGAATGGTTTCCAAATTGTTATTTTTTGATCCGGATGAGGTCCTCTGTAATTAAAGACATATCTGCTTTGAGTTTTGCTCACTTTAGGTTTACCATCAGCAGAATAACCTCAGCTTTGGATGGCCACCATGTTCCCAACATTTGCCAATTTTTGAGATGTCACCCTAACATCCTTATGGTTCAATGCTTTAATGTTTATTCACATTAAAGCAGTTCATAATTGTAAGTTATAAACATTGCATTTAGATACAAACTCAGTCCTAAGTCCTAAGTAAGCTTAGTAGCAGACTTCTAATGTATAATTTTGTATGTACTCTTGCCTAGGTGGGATAGTAGACAGGTGGCTGTGTGCTAGGAGGACCTGATTTTATATCCTGTACAATGTTTTAATCATGATTCCATATTATTCATTAACTAAGTGCCTGGTTTTCATATAGAAAGTGCTTGGCTATTTGATGTCAAGTGAACATAAAATGAGCAAAAACAATTGAACAATTGAATCCCCATATGCAATCTGATTGATAATACTATTTGTTTGGTCAGTCAAACACCATTTCATCCTAACAGACACTGCTGTGTAGAAAATTGTAATATCTATTAGTAGTTTTTCAAAGGGCTAATTGATTAAATAGTACCTTAAGTAACTGTACATCACCACTTCAATATTTTTGTTCTACAGTAGGGACATTCTGTTTTACTAGGTGCACAGTTCTCACAGAGTACATAATGTTGGCAAGGCTGCAGAACAATGCAACGATCATGCTTTTGGCAAACTATACATTTCTTTGACTGAAGCTGATATATTACCTGTTGGGGGAAGAAGAGAATTGAGATCAGCTGCAACTTAGGGAAATGCAGTTCATGCAGACTTTTCAAATAAACATGCTTGATGACAAACATGGATCTGAATGACAGTCTGACAAACTGTTTTAAAACTAAACCGATGCTACAAATGAAATGCTGTGTGTGCTCTGGGCTTTCTTACCCCATCTATAAGGTCTAGGTCATTACGCAGCTGACTCTGGATGGAGTGAAGCTTAGACAAGGGGAGCTGGTCCAGCTCTCCATAGCTACGTAGAAGAGGTGTTCCAGGGGTGCGACAAAGCGCATCAAAGTCCCCCTGGAGCTCTTTCAGCTTGCGCTCTGTTTCTTCCCATTTCTGTTCTGCCAGCTGCCGCTCTGCCTCTGCTGTCTTTGCTTGCTCCTTTGCTTCGTGAGCGTCTTTCTGGCAAGCTTCACAGGCCTGGAACAAAGGTGAAAGTTGAATTTTAAAAAAGTATAAAAGGGAAATCACTCTGGCACACAGTCAGTGTGTATACTTACTTGCTTCACCTGATGCCAGGCCTCCTCAAATTGTTTGATCTTCCTCTTGGCCTCATCCAGCTCTCTGAAAAGGCGGGCCACATCAGCACTGGTGGTTGTGGAGGTTAGGCTGCTGAAAACTGGAGATGGACTGGGTGAAAAGCTGCCACTTACAAAGTCCCAAATGCTGCTAGCTCCTCCGTTCAAGCCTAGGGTGAGCGACGTGTTAAGATAAGAGCGATTTAGATTAAACAAAATCTTGGTTGCACTAACTTGTGTCACTTTTTACACGATCCATCTCTATTAGTCATACTTTCAGCTTCACTACTGCACACAGAACTAGATTAAACACCGAAGGGAAGCTGAAGGAAGGGGCTGATGAAAGCAAATGCTTTCCAGCTTGCTCGGGGGAAAATGCGATCAGCTTACCCAGAGAGTTCTGGGAAGAGGAGGTGGGTGTTCCCAGAAGGCCGTGCTCTTGCTTGGCTAGCATGTTTGAAGGTTGATTTTGCTGAGATACTGTCCCAGACAGCAGGGACTGTGACAGCGACTGGGAGAGAGAACTTAGAGGGGAGGTGGAGAGCGATGATGAAGAATTAAAAGAAGATGATCGTGCCAATGAGCCAGGAATGTTGACAGGAGCAGATCCACTTAGCACCCTTTGACCTAAAGGACAAAGCATATACAGGTGTTCTTTAGAAACACACAAATCCTAATGGAAGGATTTGTGATGAATAAGTGCTTGAAACATATGAAGTGACCTTACCTGCCATTCCCACACTGTTATCTTGATCCTCTAACTCCTTATCAAGCGATGCAACATTAATGTCACTAAAGTTGAGGTCCAGTGCGGATCCTGACGGGAAACAAAACAAATCTGACTGAAATTTGACAACAAACTGCAGAGTGACGGTCAGTTCAAGCTGTTTCCCTTTGTTTTGCATACACTTACCAATGACAGACTCCACTGTGTTGCTCCCTGGATAGAAAGGAGTGGCTTTTGCATTCATCGTTGATAAGGTGGTGGGTGAGGAACTGTCTGAACCAATACTAGAGGCCAAGCTTGATGTTATACTGGAGGTAAAGCTTGATGCCAAAGGGTTCACCACAGAGAATACAGTATTTTGTGTCTAAAAGCAAAGCACAGTAAAGCGTTTAATTCCTATGTTCTCAATTACAAGTTTCATAATAAAATAAACACATTATCTAAATGACTCACTAAAAACAAACCTGTTTTTCTTGGTCCATCATTTTTTGATCCAACTGTCCTTTGTTCTTAATCTGGAAATGATCAAATGGCAAAGAAACAGTCTATTTCAGTGCCATATCCTTTACATCAAGCCAGTATTAATCAAAATTATTTTATTGCACCTGCCCTGGACTAACACATTTTATCTTAACCATTTTTCACCGTCCCTGCACTTAGGCGTCGCAGCGCTCACGGCTCTTGTCATTCTGATGATTAACATTTATGGAGCAACTTTCTTCAGACTTGCCTTCATCTTGTAGCACTAGCAAATCGTGAGTGCAGGAGACAGTAACATTTTACTGTGAGTGGAAGTCTTCTATAAAGCCAGAAAACATTAAAAAATTCCCTTTAGGGGAATTCTTAGCAAGGAACTATAAAACCACAAATGCAGTTTAAGAACCGAAACTATTTGCTGGTCAGCTTGATCATAAGACAATGCTACACTTCAGAAGATTTGACATTTCTTTAGACGAACAGAAATGCCATAAAGTGAGCATATTATGTTCATTTTAAAGTCTAGGGTGTGGTTTGTGGCTCAGCTGCAGGGGAGCGGTGGAGACTATTTTTATGCCATATATTTATTCTAGGGCTCTAATAAAGCAGCTTTCCATGATTCACAGTTCTAGTTGTTATTTCATCTTATACTGGGCCTTAGTGTAGTGTCTCAAAAACAAAATTTTAGCTCTTTTTCAATTGCTTTAAAATGACTTTTAAGTGTCCTGTAATATTCAACAGGTGTTTAACATTTAACAAGTCATCATCACATACATATAGTGCATGTACGTAATGGGATATTTTAAAGAAATCAATGACATGACAAGCAAACAATGAAATACGAGGAAAAGGGCTTGAAGTGGTCAAATTAAAATGGCATGGCAAACAATAAACGAGTGACAAATGGCTGCGATAAAAGTGTAAAGCCCTAAGCTGTGTGTGGGGTTTAGTTTTCCCGAGGTTAGAGAGAGCAGTCTGTGTACCTGATCTTCACGTTCAAAGCCCGGAGCTTTGGGATAGTTAGACGTCAGAGATGAGACACTGGATGTGGTGGACTCTGAACATGAATTACTATTATTTAAGGATTTGAGCCTGCTGCTGATGGATCCCATTGGGGATAACAAAGTGTCGCTTCCTGAGCTTGACGTTACAGTTGAGCTATTAGAACATGAAACCTGAGAAAGACAAGTGCACATGGTCTTATAAAAACGATGAATACAAAAAAAATGACACGAAATAAAAACATCACAATGGATGAGCTATGAAAGTGATGACAGAGTTCTCAGACGTTTGAAATCAAACTTTAAAATTGTGTCTCGTGTGAGTGAGAAATGGAGACAACCTACACTTCCTATTTGTCCATTGCTACTGGCTGTGCTGTTGGTGGAGTTTCCTCCACTGTTCCACTCACTGACTGGACACTCTGAATACTGCTGAGAGCTCAGCTGGGACTGAGAACTCGACTGTATCGCTGTTAGCAATGAGCTCATGGTCTCTTCTGTAGAAGGAATTCCTAAAAACATATAAACATAATATATGTACATGTTAAGTCTCAAAAAACTCTCAAATCCTTTTCACTGTACTCAGATAGTATTAAGGCAAACATGCACTTACTTTCTACATGTGCAAATGCACAAAACGGTCCTCTGGGACAGTATCCAGTCTGGCGCATGTCATTGCATTTGGTGGATCTGTAGATCTTGGGAGACAGAAAATCAGGATTATAAAGAAATAAGATGAAAATGTGTCTCACTATAGAAAACTAACCACAGCGTCAGTCTCATCAACAAAACAACATTATGGTTCATACATTAGAGACCGAGGAGATGAGTGATGTAGCCACAGTAATATGACTGTAATACATGAAATCTGTCTGTGCGTTTGTTTCTTCGTTAGCAAACTCCTTCTAAACCATCAGGAGTTAAGCAACTAAACTTTGTAAGCAGGTACACGTTGGAACCCTGGAGATTCTTATCTACATCAGATATTATGACATTGTTGTGTTCTCTACCAACCACACAGAACTAGTTAAAATAACCCAACTTTGTCATTTTTGCACCTTACAGGTTTTATAAGGTGTTATCACTGGATTTATTTCTGATATTGTAGGCTTTTTACTTACAATAAACAAAATAAATATAAAGCACTTTGAGGAGGCAGTTGTTGTAAACTACTGCTAGTTAAATAAAACTGAATTGAATCTATATCCACAGAAGTTGAATTATGCAGGATCTAATGCCATCATGTTGCCTGGAAACCGCCTATCAATGGGTGACAATCCATTTTTAGCCTTTCCTTCAGCACCTTATGAAAGCTTCCTATTGTTTTAACTTCACAACAACAACAACTTACATCACAAAAATTTTATTGTACATGCCCAGCAACAAGGCTAAAATTACTCTGTTTTTCCATATAAACAACATCCACCAAGCACTTGTAATTTTTCTCAATGATACGTGTATCTGTCTGGCAAGAAGATGAACAGGGAAAGAAATACAGTACCATGGACATGTACTAGTAATGAAAATGGTACTATGTTACTATTAATGTAATCTTAATTTTAAAATAATCTTATTATTACAATTTTTTATTTTTTAAATGTAGCACTAACACCAAATGTTAATAAACCATTTGCAAGCTGGTAGATATGTAGATGGAAATAGGTTAAAATTATGGGAGTGGAAGAGTTTTTTGCTTATAAGCATCTCTATGAACATTTTGTTGATATTTCACACTACTTCTAGGCAAAACTTAATGCTCAAAAATACATCATATTATGCATTATGGCCATTGTATTTTCACTCTAAGCTTGAAAAACTCGCATTGTGACTAAAACAAACTTAACTCACCTCTGGATGAAACTGCTGTTCGGTACGAGAATGGCAATACTGGCAACTGTCTCCACTTTCACACTTTGAGGGCTCGCCCCATTCATCACCGTGCTTCACATTAGGGCAAGGAGTTGACCTGCATTCAGAGTAGGCAGCTTTAACATTTTTGAATTAGAAGCCTTCATATTTTAACTTATACGGAATGAAAACTCACCTGTACTTGAACTTTCGAGGATTTCTCCTCCGATCTCTACTGTTGTGGTAGTGGGGGCAAGCATAGCCCTGTCTGCATAGTCTGGGTGGCTTAGTACACTGATCTGTTTTATAATTGGCTAAAACAAAAGTGGTATCTGCAAAAAGAGGCATCACAGTTTACTTTCTTATCCCTATTACAATGAAAAATAAATAAAGAAACAAAACAAATAAATAAACAATGTTGATTTGATTAGCATTCAATACAACAAACGGCATGCGAGTTGGAGTTTCTAACCTTGCCACCGGGGATCTTCCGTCAGAGTTTTTTCAATCATAGCTTGGCTGGCTAGCACACCAGGCTGCAAATCAGGAATCCCTTCCCCAGATCCCAACTGTCCATTTTGGAGGGCCTCTTGTGCTTGGATTTCTCTGTGCATAAAGAGTTAAAAACATTTTTACTCAGTGTACCACAAAAAAAACAAAGCAACAACAACACCAAAAAACACTTTTAAAGGAAACTGAAAAACACTCTGAAGGGGAAATCTCCAAGCCTACTCTCATAACCAGTCAAAAACAAGTTTCAATCAAATGATAATTGTTTACTTTGAAACTCAAAATACTACACAAATAAATATAAAGAGACACCATATCATGGACTAGCTGTATACAGTACATGCAAAGGAAACTGCAAACCTACGGCCTGTGGGCTGGAATTGGACCACTAAAGGATCCAACAGGGCCCACTGTAATGGTTTTTGAGAGTAAAACCTTTAAGGGATTTTGGAGAAGTTACAGCAGAAACACTGACAATGATGTCATTAAAGTAGTAGTGTGAGCTGGTAATTTCATCTGAGTCTGAACCATTGTCACTTTCACAAAGACAGACAGCGTGAAAACAAAGACCCTGTGCCCACACCCCTCTTTCATCTTCAATAGCAGCATTTCTTTGTAATGTGAGTATAGTCCATGCTGGAAAAAACAAGACATAATGTCTTCTTTTTCTTTGTAACTTGTTTTATAAATGACTAGCTAATTGTTAAATGTTAAGGTTGTCAGGCTGTTTTTACATGAGAACAAAAGACAAATTTGGAGGTGTTTCTTTTTAACAGGTTGTCATTGATGTGTTTTACTTGTCCAGCTCACATGAAAGTCAGCAGAGCACTACATGACCATTACTCATGAGGGTATGCACTGATTTAAACAGACTCCTTAAGCTCATTAAAACATATTTATATATTATAACTTGTTCAGAAAAAAAAAAGTCTCTACAAACCAAATCCACACATACAAAATAGCTACTCTGCACTGCAGGGGTTTAATGTAGCTCATTTGCTAAGTGCATTGTAAGCTCTGAGTGAAAAGTCTGGCAGGCATAAAAGAGGCCACTATTTGCTTTGCATGTCACCTGATATCATAGACTGGAGGTCGGAGATCATGTGGCCCATGAGCAAAAGCACAGTGGAGGCCATTCTTCACACAATGCCCTCGAGCATCTGTCTCATGGATACAAGTGCCAGTCTTGTAATATCGTAGATGGTACTTGCGCTCTGTGTCACCAGTGGTCCGGTGTAAATAAGGACAGCTAAGAAAAACAAAGAAAACATTCACAACTTTCACCAGTTGATCCAAATAGGATATCTGAACAGAAACAATCTGACAAGGCAATGAAATAATATGCAACATAAAATGTCCAAAAACTAAACATATAGCACAAGTACAATTATTTTAAAATGCTTCATCCTTCTTCGATTATTAATGTTAATGCTATAACAAGTCACTATAAATCCATAAGGACTATAAAGGAATTCTTATAACTGTACATATTTTAAGATTCTGCTGTAAGTGCAGGGCTCTGGAAATCTAGAGTTTTAAAATGGGAACTTTGCAGGCCAGTGATTGACACTTTTAACCTTGATGTAAATGTTGCAATCTGTGTACCAACCACACAGGTTGCAACACACTCTTCCAAGCAGCTCTGCAGTTATCAGTGCTCAGTTCAAAAGCCTGCATCTCTGACCCGTATGATATGGGGTATAACGGTGCATTAGTACCTATGGATTTGCAAGATTGCAAAGGCATCAAAGCTAAAAAGATATACTGGCTTTAGAGCAACATATATTCTGATCCAAATCACAAACTTTTTCAGGGAAGGGCTTGAATATTTCTGTAGGGCATACTAAACCCCAAACTTGATCTGTTGCACCGTGAAATAAAAAATACAACAAGGAAGATACAGGAATGTTGAACATAATCCTATATCAGACAATAATATATCTTATATTTATTGATTTAATATTTTAAAAAAAAAGACCCTAACCTAATAATATCAAAGAATATGTTTAATTAATATGATTTTCCCTGTGGTTCCAAAATGTGTATTTTTTTCTTTTTATGATTTCAGAGCATTTTTTTAAATAGTTTACACCATTTTATTTGGATGACATATCCCTTTGAAAGCACTCTTCTTTTTGTGAAAAGCATTTACATGCATACATCATTTTATTCATTCACTGTATTCTTCTTCCTGTTGTTTTAAAGTGCCCCTTGTAGTGGATATGTGTGTGATACTGGATGGGGATTTCTTTTTTTTTTTAAATAACCCCAGTTATTTACACTCTTCCTGTCTAAGTGCCACATTAAGTACCACCCTGGTTTTCTATTGGGCACACCCCATTTTCAGGGAATATGATTGGCTTTAAGCCACATGACCATACACCCAGCCATCTGTGCTGTTGCCTCTTTCATGGATATGTATATTGGCCATATAGAAATTTTTTTACTTATTTATTTAGTCTGCACACATTAAAATGTTGCCTACAGCACGTTTTACAATGATCCTGAAGGCCACAAGCTGAATCAGTCAATGTTAAACTTGTTCTTTATACACATGTTGCTTGAGCTTTAATTGCTTCAGACTTTGTTTTCCTCCATACATGTTGGAAATAGGTGAAGTTGCGCTAAAACGCTTTATTCTGTTACCACAATGCAGGGCTAACACACTACCAATGCCTCAAGATATGTAGAGCAAATAAGCCTCTTGAATGAACCAAATTTTCCTTTCTTGAGCAGTTGCTATAGCAACACATAAGGTCATACAAAAATAGCATCCATTAGTAGAAGAGGAATTGTAAGGATTGAATACTTTAATCATTTCATTTTTTTGAAATAATTTCTATCAGGCACTCGATTAAATGCGCCATCACAATTTCCTGTCACACCGAGAGGCTGCTGTCTGTATATACTACTCGGCGCAAATTATTGCATTAGTATTGGGAATGTCACTGCAACCCTTTAGCAGCTCGATAATTAAACTTTCACCTCACCGAGAAGCGCAGCCCTTAAGCGAAACCATTTTCTCCCCAGGGACAGCCCACAAAATACCCAACACACAAAACTACAGATGTTCCATAATCAGTAATCACATATTAAACTATAAATGGGGCACTGTGGTAAATGGATATTTCGAAAATATGACGCCTGGAATATAAATAAATGGTTGTGTGTCAAATTACACAGCCTTTAGACAGAGGTAATAGCAGAAGCAGTAAATATAATGCTAGGGGCAGAGTCAGCCTCTCAAAGGCTACGTTCACACTGCAGGCGAAAGCGCATCAAATCC